CACAAAAAACTAGATTGGGGTTTACAGCCTAAACCTTTTTATTATAGCAGAGTTGGCATTCAGATCCTTTTCTGTGAGCATGTTTTTTGGGGGTGGGGTGGCAAGAGGGAGGCAGAGACAGGGAGAAAGCAAGCAAGCCTCTTGGATGAAAACTCAGAAGACAGGAGGCTGAGGCCATGATGTGATCAACTTTGCTGACTGGAAGTTGCCTAAGCTTGGGTCTCCATTAGCCTTTGTGGTGTCTGTAGCTTGGACAAGAGCATAAATACCCATAGGCAGACAGACTACATAAGCACAAAAATTGGGCAACTCAGGGTTTTATAACTCCTCCAAAATCAAACATTAAAAATGTAACATTTTACAGTCAGAAGTTTCATGCATTTCCTTACATACATTGATAAGCATAGCATAAATTTTATTTAAATAATTGTAATTCTTTATTTAGAGAGAGGCATCCTCTTCTTTTCAATGCTTATGATCTTTAAAGTTTTAAACCAGTCCTGCTGTGGAGCCTGAGATTTGGTTTCAGATGCATTTTCCCTTTTACATTGATCTACTTTGCTCTATAGCACTAGTTATCATGTCATATTACTTTTTAACTTGTTTAATCATTTGCTCAGGGGTTTGCCTGCTCTGACTTCTGAACAAAATGGCATTTTGTCTCTTGCTATCACCACTGTATCCTTAGTGCTTAGAAGAGTGTCTGGCACATAGTTGATGTCCAACAAATGTGTTGAATAAGTAAATAAATAAATTATGGGTTCCTAAGTATTCCCCCAGTCAAATTATTCCCCAAGAATTTCAAACTGCCTTGAACCGGGGTTAGTTCAGGAGTCCCAGGATCCCAAATGAAGAATGTGACCCATAGGTCTACTAGCCTTGGTATAAGAGAGAAAGGTGACAAGCTGAGCAGTTTACCCTGCACTAGCTATGGAACCAGTGAGGGCCCTTTGGGACAAGCTTCTCATCTATATGATTGGAGCTCCTCCATGACAAGTAGAAAGGAAAACTAGTTGCCATGGCCACACAAGCCTCCCCAATATCAGAGCCTGTCTGGGTTTTCTCCCAGAGCTTACACTGGCTCCATTCCTCTGTTCTCCAGGATTCAATGCCTCTCTGGATGTTTGGGAGAAACGAATTTCGTTGCCAGACACGCAGAGAGGGAAAGCAGCAACGCAGTGGGAAATACAGAGCTCTTCAGAAACCTGGATACAGGGGAAACTTTTACTCAGTAGACTCTGCTTTGGTTTCCTTATTGAAACAAACTGCTTTCTGTTTTAAAAACAATTTCACCAAGTCCACAAGGATTAGAAGCTATTTGGGCACAATAATTCAGGGCTATATGAAATGAGAATACAAGTTGCCAGTCACCATGGGCAGCTTTGGAAAAGAGGTCTGCCTGGAGAAAGGCAGTGTAGGTTATGGACTCATTCATATGCAGGGTCATGTTAAGAGACCAAAACAAGAGGGTTGCAGTGCAGACTTTACCATGAGGTGAGGGAGGCCAAGAATCAAGAGATGATTTACCATGTACCAGAACAGTCATCCCTCCCCATCCTAATCCTGTTTCAGTCAATTGAATTAACTAGACTCCTTTTCTAAGATGCAAACAGCAAAGGAGTGATTAAAAGGAATGGGTGGATGAGTCAATCATTCACACTTCAGTGTAAATCTACTCAACTGAAGTAACTGTCTTGACAGAGGTTTATATATATTTGGGGGGGGCACAGAAAAGCAATATTTCTGTAGGAGACAGAGATGTTGGAAAGGGCCACAGGAAAGACAGAAAGTTTGGGAAACCATTGCAAATATAAGGTGCAGGAATCAGGGGGTGAAGATAGAAGTGGAAGGAGGTTAATAGGGATGTGAAACAAATGACATCTGTCTCTTTTTTTTTTTTTTTGAGGAACTGGTCTAGAATGTCATTAATGACAAAGTTCCTATAATTTTAAACATTGCCTAGGGTTGATCATGCTGGTCATGTCAGAAAAAAAAGCAGCTTTTGCCGTTATTTAAGGGGGAACCAATATGCAATGTGGTTGAGATGCTAATATTGCTTTCCCTGACAGTTAAAAGGCATGAAGACAGTAACTAAGAATTCCCTGTGCTGCCCTGGGACCACCACCTCTTCTAGTTATTGATCAGTCAGCCACCTAGCTCCTAAATGATCTCATTGTTGTCAGATACTCTGTTTGCCCTTACTTTCTGCAGGCCTCCCAGTGTCCTAGGGTATTTCATCAAATCTGAAAAATCAGATTCAAGAGTCAGCTTGTCAAGAAACCTCAAATATATCAAAACCAAGTCAGAAAAATCAGAGAAGGTGGTAGTTATTCTGTCAGCTTAATCTCTGAAAAGTCACCCAGGGATTTTTCACTTTGCAATTCTGCAATTGTCTCCAGACAGCCTCGAAAAAAAGTAAAGGAATTGATTTGTGATCAAATATACTTTAATAAGTCCTTTCTTAAAGGATGGAGGGAAGATCACAGAAAGATGCATCTGGGTGCCCACAAATAAAGACACAGTTGAATAAATAGTTGGCCAAGGTATAACTGTTGTATAATCCAAATGTATTTTATTATATTTAATAAGCAATTAAAATCCAAGTGGCAATTGTAACTGAATGATTGCTTTTGTTTTTAAATGTTAAATAAATGTCAATTTTACATTTAGTTATACATTAAATTTTATTGATTACATTGTTCATATGACAAGTATTTTTGTTATTCCATGTTATATTAACTATAAAATGGAAATTAATAAAAATAAATTGAAATATGGAAAATTAAACAAAACTAAATACGGAAATTACAGAAAGGAAACTGGTTTATTGATATATTTTATGTCGACTTACTTAACATATCTCATTAAATGTTTTGGTGTCATCATCCTAAAATTTCATAATTTTGAGAGCCAAGGGCACAAACAAAAGTTCACATATAGTTTATACTTACAAGAAATGGAAAAGAAAATATTTCAGAAGAAACAAAAAGATTATTCATACTTTGATTACTAATTTGATCTTAAAACATAACCTAACAACTGAACTTAACCTAACTTAACCTAATTGAATCTAACTGAACCTAGTGTCATATATTCTATCTATAACCTGTTTTCAGAAGATATTATAATGCATAATTATTTTTAGGACTTTAGATAAAGAGAAAAAAGTAATATGATTTTTTAGAATTAATTTATATTACTGTTGTATTGTTTTACATTTTTCAATTAGTTCCTAATCCAAGAACAGCTTTCGCAGTTTATAGTTACATAATTCTTACAAATTATTACTTAAAATCTTAGTATTTTTAAATCTATGTACCATCAGAAAGGAGGGAAAAAAAGATTTAGAATTTTGCTTATTGTTTTAAAATTTTTTGCTTTTTTGTTGTTTTTAATATTTTAATCATTCTCTGGCACAAGTTCAGCAGCTTACAATGTGTATTGTTAGTGACAGTATTACTTAAGTCTTAGCATTTTTAAATTTCCATATCATTCAGATATATTTAAATTGATTAATGCCCATTTTAAAAATATTTTTGTTGTTTTGTAGTGTTTTAATTGTGTGTGTGTGTGAGTGGGCGCGCACACACGCGTGTGTAGGTATTTCTTTCCATTGTTTCTGACATAAGTACAATATATCATCTTTCAAGCTATATTGTACCCAGAAGTTTCTTTACAAGTATTAACATTCTTAAATTTACACTTCATCCAATAAATGGTAGAGTTTTTTAAGGCTTTTTTTATGCTTTTGATGTGTTAGTGAGTTTCCTCTTCTTTTTTTTAAATATTGACTTTAACTGCTCCTGAACTGCATTTTGATCCAAAGCATCATATTAAAGTTATAGCATTTGGCAAGTTTTGCAAATGCTCCAGAAAATACAAGTTCTAAATTGTTTGTGCTTTTTTCTTTGTTAGAGGTTTTTTTGTTGTTGTTGTTTCAAATTCGCTCCTCACTTGGGCACAAATTCAGCAGAATTCTACCTATACTGTACTCCAAAATTTTATACAAATTTTTTAATTTAAAGATCCTCGACAAATAAAGTATTAATGCAAGTATTAAAAGATGTTTGGTTGTTCATATTGTTTTATAGTTTTTCTGTTTGCTTGTTTGTTGTTTGTATTGGTTCGGTTTAGTTTATGTATTTATTCAGTATGCTCCCAACCTAGGCACAAATTCAGCAGCTCGAGTTATACTGTATTCCAAAATTTAATATGAAAAAATAAGCAATTTAAAGTTACAAATCTCTCTTACCCCTCCCCAAATGATTAATGCAAGTTTTAAGAAAGCTTTTTGTTGGTTTTAGTGTTTTATATTTTGTTATTACTTTTTAAACTTTTTTCAACTTGTCCCTAACCTAGACACAAATGAAGCAGCTTTCTGGCTGCACTGTGCTCCAAAATTTCAAATGGAGAAAATTTTAAACAAACCAGTCCCTCAAAAGAAATATTAGAAATTGGAAATTCTAAGGAAAAAAATGGTGTTGCTTAAGTTTTTAATGGACATTTGTTGTTTTACGTGATTTGTCATTGTGTACCTGTCTGAGGCACATATTTAGCAGCTTTCTGGATTTGAAGTTTCATATGAAATTTTTAATGTAATATAAAAAAATGGAAGAATATTTTTAAAAACTGACACTGCTGATGACTGCAAATGCATAAATCCAGTTAATGTTCTGTTTCTTCCCACTCCTATTCATGCAAACACAATTTCTGTTTCTGCTTTCAACAAATATACAATAAACTTGCCAGCTCTTTTAAATTGGATACATTTCTTATTAATTAATGTTCTTGTGCTAAAATAATCTTGATGAAAAATCAAAGAAAAACAATTGAAACAAAAATATATCAGTAGTAACACAAAATGTCTTTTTTAAATAATCCCTGAATTTGTTCTATATTTATAGGCCCAACCTAATTACCAAATATTTTCAGAATGGAAGTATCTTTTTAAAAGTCTGAAAGTAATCTCTGTATCACTAAAGTCAAGGCCACTTGCCAATTACATAATGTGATACAATAAAATTTCAACCCAGCAGAAGAGTTTGGCAATTTTAGTCATTGTAATTAGACCTGACCTATAATTATTGAACAAAACAGCATATATACAGTAAATGTTCAAATAAATGTATTTGACTGCATTTAGTACATTAATGTATTCTCAGTATCATTAGCTTCAAATCTTTCCTCTTATTCATAGCATAAGAAAATAATCATAGAAGAAACCATATTTGGACCTAAATATAGTTCTCGTACCTAGAAGGTAGACTCTAGCATTAACTCACCACCATTATGTGTTGTTTGATCACTAACTTCCTCTTGAATAGCTGGAAGAGAAGGCTTTGTGGTAAGAGGTGTTTCGGTCTTAAACAGGGACTCCATCCTGATATGGGTATTGATGTAGAAGGACTTCTGAAAGGACTCAAGGGTGAAGTAATAGATGAAAGGGTCAAAGCAACAATTAAGGGTTGCAAGGCACAAGGTGATTGGGTACATAATCTTAGCAAATCTTTCCAAAAAGCAATTGGTAATGGCTTGGGAACGCACCAGGGCATACAGGAAGAGAACAGAGTTGTAGGGTACGAAACAGACCACAAAAACTGCCATATGCACTGTGATCATCTTGAGCACTTTTTTCTTATTGGTCCCAATTTGAGACAGTGTAGCAGGCTTACGGAGGGTTCTGAGCACCACAGAAGAGCAAGAGACATTCAGTATCAGAGGAATGATGAATCCAACAACTTCAATAAATATGGTGATCTTGGACAGATAAGTCTTCCAGACACGTTTGGAGAAGCCCTCAAAGCAGGTGGTGGTTGCATTGTTGACATTAGTGGTTGAGAACAAGGAGGCTGAAATACCACCACTGAGGACTAGGATCCAGACTCCAGCACACACAATGGCAGAATTCCTCCTGGTCCTAATGGTACGAGATCGGAAGGGATAGACAATGGCCAGGAAACGATCCACACTAATACAGGTGAGGAATAGCATGCTCCCATAGATGTTGGTAAGGAATGCAGTCCCAGAGATCTTGCAGAGAGTGTCACCAAAAGGCCAGTGACGGTTGAAATTGTAAAATATTTTGAAAGGTAGCGTGCAGACAAAGAGCAAATCGGAGAGTGCCAGATTGGTGATGAAAATAGCTGTCTCACTTCTCATTTTCATGCGGAAGCAGAAGACAAATAGAGAGGCACTGTTGGTTATCAGACCCAGGATGAATACAACACTGTAGACAGCACCATTCAGATTATACTTGAAAGAATCATCAATAATACAAGTATTATTGGCAGTAGCATTGCCCAACCTTGGTCTGAGGCTTGAATTTAAAACTTGGAATTGGAAGTCAATGAATCTTCTGTCACCCATGGATTTATTTCAGGAGGCCTGCTGGCTGCAGGGTTCACCACTCTCAGACTAAGGACTAGTAGGAAATGTTTTCCTCCTATAGGAAACAAGATGGAATGAATCATGAAATCTGCCTTCCATCCATTATTTCTGTGGAGTAAAAGATATTCTCTCTACCCAGATTGGAAATAACATTCAATTTGGTATGACAAGTACCTTCTGAGTACCTACCATATGTTAAAAATTACTATAAGAGTATGTTGCAGGAGTGGAAGAGATCACATTTAATACAATAAGTGCAGTACTATAGCATTGCAATGAACAGGAATGAGATGTTGTGGTTACATGACAGACCAAGGCAGGAGGGCGGGGAGGAGAAGAAACTCTGATAGTTAAAACAACACTAATACTTTGAAATTTATATGGCACATTTTAGCTTTCAAAAGCATGTTTTATTTTATTCCTACAAGAACACCAAAAGATACACAAAACAAGAATTGATCACCATATCACAGAAGCAGAAACTGAGGCCTATGTAATTTAGAATTACAATCACGTCAGAATTGGAAAAATGTACAAATGATATAGTCAGAACCAGAGTTCAGGTTTTTTTTTTTATTATTATTACTAACGAAATGATTATGTTACTCTAAATCGTATTGTCTACTCTTCAATATTGCTACACTTCATTGTCTGAGTATTGGTTCTATTGCACAAGACCACAAGTGGATAAGGGACCTCCAGAACATGCTCTTAAAACAGTTGAGACTAAATTCATGAAGTAAATTATTGATTCATCTTTTTCTTCTAAAACATTAGTTCAGAGAGCAGGGATCACTCAGTTAATTAAACCTTCCAGTTAAAAATTTTTTCACTACATTACATTGTCTTTCTAGAGAGATAATCCACATAACGATCTCAGCATTTCCCTTCTGCAGACTGTGATCCACTTTCCAAGCTTCTCTCATGCTAAACCCTAAGCCTAGGATGCCTTCCTTCTCCCTCTCCCACTCTATCAATTATTTTCATGCCTTCAGCTCCTCAGATGTCACTGGTCAATAAAGCCTTTTATGGTGAATACATGTGAAATACATTCTGAGCTGGCCAGTTACATGTCCTCTGCCTGCCACGACTGTACATGTGGCAATCACTGACTTAATCATCTCTGTTGGGTATCTGGGGCAATATCATTCAAAGGTGCATATAGAAATCTTACTAACTTCCTAGATCAACAGCTGCCACTGGACAAGGACTATATTTCGAATGTTCTATAATACATTATAGATAAGTAAGCTGCTGAATGAATTCTTTTCAATGAGGAAGACATGGAATAAACGTGGTCTTTGTCGCCTGATATAGCCAATAGTGGGTTTTTACATTATTGTATTTTAAAATGTAAAAGGCATTTCTTTAAAGTGATTCCTCCTTATGTCACTCTTTCCTTTCAACTCCCAGGGAACAGGTCAAAGATCCTTTCTATAAAACAAAGAAGGGAAGCCCTGGCCAGTTTGGCTCAGCGGTTAGAGCATCACCTTGCGGACCAGAGTCCTGGGTTCGGTTCCCGCTAAGGGCATGTACCTCGGTTGCAGTTTGTCCTCAGCCCTGGTTGGGGTGGTGTGAGTGGCAACCACTTGATGTGTCTCTCTCACATTAATGTTTATCTCTCTTCCTCCCTCTCTCTCTCCTGGTCTATCTGAAGATAAATGCAAAACTGTCCTTGGGTGAGGATTACAAAAAAAAAAAAACAAAGAAGGGAATGGAGAGGGATACCTGCCAGAGCTATAGAGGCCTGAAGTCACTTCAGTGTTTGGCTTGAGAAAAACTGGTATGAAAAATATTTCACTCACTGCCATGCCTATAGGGAGAGATGACCTTGGAGAATACAGGGTTCACACAAAGAGTTGCTATTTTTTAATATGTTTTTATTGATTTTTTGAGAGTAAGGGAGAGGGAAAGAGAAATAGAAACATCAATGAGAGAGAAACATCAACATGGACTGGTCATCTGCATGCACCCCACTGGGGATCGAGCCCACAACCCAGGCATGTGCCCTGACTGGAAATAAAACCAGCAACCTCTTGGAGCATGGGTCAAAGTTCAACTGCTGAGCCACACCAGCCAGGCAAGAGTTGCCATTTTTTAAAATACATTTTATTAATTTTTTTTAGAAAGAGAGGAAAGAAGAGAGAGATAGAAACAGCGATGTGAGAAAGAAACATCCATAGGCTGCCTCCTGCATTCCCCCCACTGGGGGTCAAGCCAGAAACCTGGTATGTGTTCTGACCAGAATCGGACCAGGACCTCTCAGTCCATGGGATGACACTCAATCCACTGAGCCACACCAGCTGGGCAAGAGTTGCCATTTTCAATAGCTTAAGTTTTCAAATTAGAATTGGAAACCGGCTATCCTTGAATTCTCGTTTAGCAAGTCTTTATGAAGTGCTTCCCTTGAGCCTAACACTGCTTTAAGATCATCTTCCTTCTTAACCATTTTATCTCATAGGCCCAGCTCAAATTTGCGGGAAGCTTCCTTGATTTACAGAAGCAGAAATGTAGACCATGCAAGGTCCAGGATGGAAAAATAAGCCAGACAAGAAAGAAGTAAAAATATGTGAGAAGAGTCAAGTAGAAGATGGGAAAGTAGTAGAGAAAGAAAAACAGGAGACTTGAGGAAAAGAAAAGGTGAAATAAAAGATGTTGCTGGGGAGAGGTCAGTGCTGCCATCTAATTTGTATTCAGTCCCTCGAGAGGTATTTCTATTTCACAATTACTCCAATCTCACCCTCTGTATCTTGCTTCATTTCAGTCATTTCAGTTTTATCAGGAAGAAGCACGAAATGCAATCACTATGCTTAAGGCCACTGTAACCGATTGAAAAATATAGGAAGAGACTAGAAAATATCAGTCAATGGATTTCATACCTTACTTTGGGAGCTGTAGACCCAAGTTACTGCAGATTGTTTCACCAATGGGATGGCAGAAACAAAAAATGGCTAACTTGTCAACTGCTTAAACCACTTTATATGCTATTTTTAACACCTCAACTCACTGCCCATTAGTCTAGAGGCCTTTTTTAATTGTTGAAAGAAATCAAAATAGTAAAAAATATCACTCTAACATAGTCACACAATCTAAACAAATTATGGGACTGAAAACCCAACATTAAAGCCAAACTTCATTCACTATGATTTGCTTGCACCTGCCTTGTATAATAAGTACTGCCAATAAGTTTATTTGATTTGGAAAATGCTTTCATAATAGAAGCCTTTTACCCCTTCCCAGAGTCCCTTCAGTCTGCCTAGTGGTGACCCATTTACACAGCATGCTTCTAGCTCACTAAGTATTATTTTGCACTGCCCAAGATGGTGTATTTTAAATAGATGAGTTCTGTCTCCTGAGTTTTCCATCCATTTTTATATCTCCCAAAACATATGTACTATACCCACAGCAGGCAGTTTGCAAATGCTTGATACTTCTGCTTTGCAGCTTTGAGTAACCAAATATTGTGGGAGAGAAAGGACCACAGACAAGAAAGCATTACACTCTCAATCCTGAAGAGAGGGCCTGGGAAACTGCCACTAAGGCCCTATTCATAGCTCTCCTTGTTTGAACACACAGCACCTTTGCTGTCTAGCAGTGAGGGTGTGGTGCTGGGACTTAGCACAGCATTGGAAGCAAGGAGTTCTATTTCCGACTCAGACACTGGTTCACTCTGTAACTTGGCTGTATAGTTTCTCTTCCCTGTGTAAACATACTTCTGAGCCTCACAGCTGAGGTTAGGAAGATTCAACAGGGCTTATAAAGAGGTTTATGAGTTTGCCAGTATTCGTTCTACCTAACTACAAAGAAACATTATATAAGCTTTTTTCCTTCTCCCTTCCCTGACACAATTGGACACCTATGACTGTGTCTTTCCTAGTATACTGAACTACATATTTGCAACACAGCATTCTCCTACACCATATATACCTTATATCTCTTGAGTTTCAACCTTAACACTATCATTTTCTCATAATGGAGGATGCTCTAAAGGAGTATCTCCCACTGAGCTATGGTTAAAAAGAATCAGAGAGGTATTTGGCTCTTAAGCTGATTCTGAAGGAGAATCAACAACATTCAAGAAACATGTTCTCTTTTCTGACTGGCTTCCTTTCTTTTCACACACACACACACACACACACACAAACAGTGTTTTTAACCACTAGATTTTCCTAAATGGATAACATATTGTGCACTGAATGGAGGCAAAGGGCCAACTCTTGAGCTTCAGATGAGATCAAGAAAAAAAAACAGGCTGAAGCAGTTAATTAGATCTTCCACTGGAAGTAGCATGAGACTATTGTCTTGTGAAGACCATTGTAGCCAATTATTCCAACAATTAATCACCTAGAGGAGTCAGAATGCTGGGTGGACATATTTTCATTGACAATGGGCAGGAAGTAGGTCACCTGGAGGTAGACCAAAAAGAAATCTGACCCCCAATGAATTTTTAACTCTGACCTACACATATGGAGCCAGTTTGGACAGTTCATACTAGTGCTCACAATTCTATTCTTTTTAAAAATATTTCTAATATTAATGAAATATAATATTTTTTAGATCTTTGGGGCTCTTGAAGGAAGTGGAGTTAGACTTTTGGCCCTATTATAATAAATTCCTAAATTATTCCACTTTACTAATGCTAAACTTTCCAATGATACATTAAAAACAAAACTCTAAATTCTGACATATGGTCGATAACCTAGAAAGGCTGACTTGCTTTTGTTCCCTACAGAAAGTAGTCCAGAGAAAAACAAGGCCTTGAAGTCAAAGTATACTCAAATTCTCTTTCTTTGCTCCCTTTTCCATGAGCTTAGGTCAGATCAGAGTGTTTCTGATCCCCAGAGCATTTTTTCTTTCTACTCTGGTTGAAACTTAGGAACATTGACACAATGGTTTTCAGAGGAAGCTGAAACCTATTGTGTCCTTGCCTATAAATATCTAGCAGTGAAGTAAGCTACAAAATACAAAAATGTTGCAAAAAATATAGATCAAAACCATCATGCTGGAGTAATAGGGAATATGTACATCCTGCTGCTCCTCAGTGAGTGACTGCTAACAGATAAGACTTCTTAAAGGAAATTTTCTCGGCTAAGTCACAGGGACAGGTCACAATCATATACATGGTTCCAACTGATGCTACTATGCATTGGTTGATGTTTCATAATAGTTTTCAAAATACAACCCAGCCTTATGACATTACATATGGAGGAAACCATAGGTAAATATTTCACTCTAGAATGGAGCTGGGAAATTGATCTGCATCAGGTCTCATTTTAAACAAGCTATTTAAAATGTGTCAAATGTTTAGATTGATATGCCTTGTTTACTTTTTATTTTAATTGAATTTATTGGCATTACATTGGTTAATAAAATCATATAGGTTTCAAGTGTATAATGCTATAATACATCATCTGTATATTGTATTGTGTGTTTACCATCCAAAGTCTAATCTCCTTCCATCACCATTTATCTCCCATTTACCTTCTTCTACCTGCCCTCATCCCCCTTTCCCTCTGGTAATTACCAAATTGTTGTCTGTGTCTATGAGGTTTTTTTTTCTTTCTTAATCCCTTCAGAGAACAGACTGATGGCCTTATTTATTTTTGATGCAAGAAATATTATTTTTAAAATGGTTTCTCTACATTGAATTTGGTTCATACTGAGATTATTATGGATATTTTGTCCCCCCCACCTTATTTGAGAAAAGCAGGACATTGGCAAAGGCCCTAATATGAGCAAACCTTATTCTCAGTGATTAATTTGATTTTTTCAACAAAAAACACTCCAGTCTCCCACTAACCTGATGACATAGTCTAATCTTTAAAAAATAATGTGGTTTAGTATTCAACATGAGGGGGCCAAAGATTGCATCAACCCTACTAAACTAGAATTTTTCCTAGCAGTTAGTTATAGAGTAAGACAACTGCAGAGAAATTGCTCAACCTAATATTATGAAATTGTCTTGAGACAATATATCCTCTCAGCAAAAGCCTCAGATCTTTAGGAAAAAATTTGGGGTGTTCCTAAAAGAGCTCATTTCCAAGTTCTGTGAGGCTCATGCATGCTAACTAGAAATTCAGCTTTATTTCATATATTTGATCAGGAAAATTAGTTATTGATTTGCATACTGATTCATCTGATATTCTTGGATACTGATCCTGATAACATGAATAAAAACATGTCTCCCATCTCTAAAGGTCTATACCAGTGGCACAGAGAGCTTAAAACCAAAGAATCAGTATTCATCTATACCAAAATTGCCTGGACTACAATAAACAATTACAACTCCTCCATCCATTATGGATTTGGGGATTATATATTATATAATCAATAGGAAGTATTGGTTACAAAAAAAGTTGAAGAATAAAATTAAGAATTATGGAGAAAGCTATTATCAGGAGATTGGTACTCACCACATTAGTTCTAATCAAAATCTGGCACCAATTTTATCTGAGACTTGGGTAATCAGTGAACTTTCTGGAGGTACTGTGGTTAGGGATTTCCTCCAATGGATGCTGTGAAATAGAATTAGTCACAATAGTGTGACATGGGAAGAGCTTTTCAATAAAAATGTATGTCAAGATCATAGGGTAAAAAAGGATTATATGATATGAATCAAAGTAAATGAAAGCCAACATATTTTAAAATGGTATCTAAATGTTTTGGACTTCATTGTTACGAAATTTCAGATAACATTTTATTGTCTAAACCTGTCACTATTGTGCCATATTTTACTAGTTATATAGATAAGAAAAAAGTCTATGAGTCTGTGTAACCTATAATCATTTAAAGATAACTAATGACAAAAGGCATAAAAATACTTCTTCCACTTCCATAACGTAATACATTGAATTAAAAATAACTGAACAAAGGAGATTTTTTTGGCCTGAAGTTATGTTGGTTCTTTGTTCTTTCTTTTTTTTTTTTTTTTTTTCCTTTTCTTTTCCCCTGGCAACAACTGTTACTATTGGGCAAGAGCCTTGGTAAGGGAAGAGGAAAAAAGACTGGAACAACAGGGGGAAACCCCACTGTCTTGTCTCCAACCTGCACTCCCACCCTAGTTAAATTTATTTCTCCCCTGAACTATAGTGATATGGACAAGACTTCAATTGCTGGGTATTAGCACAATGACCATCACTTCTGCCTTTACTAGGATGTACTAGGCCTACCCAATATAGAATGTCTATAACATCTTCAAATCACAAAATACTTATATAGAACCAGAAATAGTTGGCAATGAAATTCTTACAAGTAGCATCTACATCTGAACCCTATTCATTTACTGCCTAAAAAGCAGGGTCATCTGCTAGTGCCACTCTTATACTATTGTCACATCTCACCCTCTTCTCAACAAAGGAGACTGCTGAATAATAGTCCAACTCTCCTCAAATAATTTTTTCTAATCTAAGGGAACCAAAATAAAAATAATAAAATCATTAGATAATTTTAAATATATTTGAGATCACCTTAATATTAAGGAGAATTGATTTTCACACTCCTCCAGAGAGCAGTATTCCTGGAATGAAATAAATATTATTTTACTGGTTTATCTTAAAGGAAGACAGAAATATTAACATTTCTTTCTTTTATGGCTTCCGCAATTGATACAGATCATAAAGAAATCTTTTTATTTGGAATCCAAGCAAACTTGGAATTTCAAGTACCCAGAAGTTTTCATATTTGTTATTAATTCAATAAAGCCACATCCAGCCCCATCACATCTAACTGTGTGAGAGCAAGTCACAATCCCTTTTTGGACCTCAGTTTATTTTCTCCTTCCATCTTTTGCCTTAATTGACAGCCGCCTTCACCTGGTGCTATGGCATGGCCTCACTGACCTCTTCAGTCAGTTGTTTTCACCTGCTCCCATTTGTCATTGCAAAAAAATTTTTTTAATCCCTCAAAGTATGAGATAGGGAAATTAATTTTTATTAGACTCAATGAAATTATTGCTAGACTTATTTTATTTATTTTCATTGAGGTATAATTGACATACAACATTATATTAGTCTTATGTGTACAACATAGTAATTTGACATTTGTATTTGTTGCAAAATGATCACCACAATAAGTCTGTCACCATATATAGTATAGATCATTTTAATATCAGAAATAAATATTATTAATTAGTGCCAGAAGCTGAGCATCGTGGATCAAGAAGTCATTTATATTCTAAAGTCTTCCTAATTCCCTCATTTTTCTCATATTCTGTCATTATGCCCATACTAGTAGGCATATCAGCTTTAACTGTCTAGGTTTAATCCTCAACCTTTGCTACCTGTTTCCTGGTCACCTAGTCAGGTGTCTGTCTTCAAAATATAAGTTTATCAAAATACTTCAAAACATAACTATATAAAATCAGTAGAATACTTATCCTATGTACTGTTCTGATCAAATTACTTATCTACTAAAAAATAAAGCTGGGTTCCCAGTGGTAGGTGACCTCCTATTAAGCTCCCAATTTTCAGTACTAATATTCACAAATACATTATAGGGTGGTTGTTTTGTTTCCTTCCCAGTTAAGAAGGCCAAGAGTAGACTAGTGCATGATGACCATACTCACAGAAAAAAGGCAACCACACAATTAGGCCCTCACCACATCATAGCAAGGGCAACAATTCTCACTGCATTTTCTCTCAAAAGGAATAGAATAAATGAAGCTCTAGCTGAGTTTGGCCTAAGTGTTGCTGTTAGGCATCTTCCCAGTCCTCTCTTTAACTTACAGAGAGTACACACTCTGAAAGGCTGGTCTGATTGTTCCACTAGGGCTTTCATTCGCATCTCTGATTGGCAGGAGATGCTTTAGAGTGTAGACGCCACCAAGTTTATCAGCTGAACTCATCCTTTTTAGCAGGAGTGTAAACTTTTCATCTGTGACAAGGAAAAAGGATTTAAAAATCTATGTCGATAGGACATGTTGTTTTGAATTTTGTTCTGAAAAATAAACATGTTTCAAAGCCACTAGATAATCTGGAGCTTCAGTTATTATTGTTGTCTTCATGTTAGTCAAGGAAAAAGAAAGATGGTATCATTTGGTAAGGTAGCAAAGTGAATAACCCAAACAACCTCTGAAATGTTCTAAGTTTTAAATTTGTCTGGTTTTGTCCATGCTGGAATAATAATGAATTACATTACTATATTTCCTAAAACAAAGTAACAAAAATACAATATTTATCAATTCAACAAGATCTTGTTGCTAAAAATTATAAAAATACTCAGGATATAAAGAAGAAAATTTTAAATGTCACATTATTGCATTTGTACGAAAAACAGCAATTAATTTCACATATAATAGCAAATTCAACTTGTGCCAGAATTAGTTTTTCATTGAAATATTTTCTTCCTTTATAGTCAAGTTCATGAATTATTCAATATAGCAAATGTCACATTCTCCATAAATCAATTAAGCATCAAAGCATGCCCCATATAGTTTTCCTAGAAGAAACCTCATCATAATAGGAGCCACATTAGCTCACAATCAATTGCAAACCAAAGAAATATAGAGCTAGCCAAAAGAATTTCTAAGCCCTACTCTGATTTTAACTGGGCTCTCTAGGACAACTGTGTTTACATAAAACAACAGCCTGAAACTCCTGTATCTTTTCCACTGAAACAATATTATTGCCAAAACAATAGAAATTCTTGCTTTTTTTTTTACCATTCGACACGATGATCTGTTCAGCACTTCAGAGTTGAAATCTAACTTATTTCCCCAAACACTCAAAGCGTTCCACTGAAGTCTGTTACGCCGTCTCCCCCACCCACAAACGCCCAAATAAATCTTTCTCAAAGAGACTTACCCCAAGAAAGAGTGTGCTAGATGAGAGTGTGCTCATGCCTGTAGAAAATTAGCTAATAAGCATGTGAACGGGCAACTCGCACTTTAAAAGTGCGTATTTTAATCCATTATTTTTTTTACAGGGAAAGGTTAGCCCAGCCCAAAGTAGCAGACTCTGGGCTGCCGCAGCTTCTTACAGCAAACCGCTCATTCTGAAAATGTGAGCTTATTTACATCTATCTCTTTCCCTTTGTTAAGAAATGGCCCTCTTGAATGCTGTAGCCGGCATGCCTTTAACAAACAGGACACAAGAAAAGGCCCAAACGCCTGGCTGAAGCTGAGGGCCGGGGGAACTTCTGGGGGTCTAATAGGAAATGCTTTTCATTGGATAAGGAGGCATTATTGGGAGCTGAGACCCCGCCCAATCCCCTGTGCTCCATCGTTCCCTTAGTCACCAATCCCTGGACTGAAGTTTTTCCTTAAAGAGCATTGCCTAGGAAAAGTAGTTTTCACAGGCAAGAATTAGCAGTTTAAGTGCTACTTGACAATTTAAAAAGTGTCTTTCCTAACCAGTTAATCCACAGAGAAAGCCTGTGTGCCTGCCTCTGCTGCAGGACTGCTATCCCCCTAAAATTCTAATGAGGAGGAGGAGACAAACCGCCAAATTTAGAGGAGGGAATTATGAACAGCCCCTGTTTACTCTCATTTGTTTAAAATAATTACAACAATATTGATAATAATAATTAGGGTGCAGGGAAAGACAAAAGGGAATGCTACCATAAATGCATTCCTATTATACTTGGTAGAATTAAGCCTCATACCACCACAAAAATGCAATTCAATACTATATTCACTCAAGCCAGCCAAGTGCTCTCAGATGGAAATGGGGGAGGGGGGGACTCCAGAGCTCTAATACTCACCTTCCGTGAACTAGGGAATACTGTGTGGCAAAAGGAGGGTCTGTACTTCTCTTAATTAACTGCCTGGCAGGAAGTCTAATTACCATTAAATTTTCAAAGGTTTGCTCAAAACCAAAATAAATAGTACAGATGCAATCTGTTTATAATGGGGTGTTATCTTCAACTGTATACCTCCTCCCCCCTGGGCAAGTTATTTTCTCATATGTTGACTGCCTTGGTCACCCACACTGCTTTTTTTCTTCCTATTTTTTCCTCCTTCCCTCCCTTTCTCTGATATGAATGCGTTACAGAAATGTACTCATACATATGTAACTTTATTGCTAGCTCTTTCCCTCTGCCACCGCCCCCCAATCCTTTGTCCTCTTCCTCCACTCACTGCCAACACTAGCACCAACAACAACCCCCTTTCTCTAGATTGAAATTCTTAGGCCAGGGGAAAGGTGCTTTCTCTCTCTGAACAGAGAAATCCTCTGCCTGCTTCAGAATGTAAGTCTATGTAATTAAGCCACCTCCCAAATAAAACATGCTTCATAATATTTTTTATTCTCTCTCTTTCTTCAGCTCTATTGTGGCTGTTCTCACTACCAGTCAAGGCCAGTAAACAAGTGAGTGTGAAGCTAATACTAACCTATTATTTGTGACTGATTCTGAAAAGTACTTTCTATTGGCTTCGCCACTCCCCTCCACCCCAGTCTCTGTTCTTTCTGTCACTTCTCAATTTACCTCAGGTATATCTATATCTGTCAGCTACTGATATAGACTGTATCCCCACAAAGTGGTCATGTACCCACTCTGAGCCAGGACTAGCTCTGGTTGCATTTATCTATCTACAAGAAAAAGATACAGTCACTGCCCTGCAGTGCCTCACAGTCTAGCTGGAGACATAAGAAATGTGAAAGAGTAAGATACCAACCAAAAATTTTGAGAAAATACTAAAGGAGTTATATGGAGAGTAAGTTTTGTAATGGATCAGAGGATAGAAATAAAGTCCCGTGGACAGGGGAGGGCTTCCCAGAGTAGGTGGTATTTGAGCTGGACCTCCATGGATGATTAGTATTTAAATAAGCCAAGAAAAGAAGAGGAAATCTTTCCAGGTGGCCAGATCCAAGTGATAAAATAAAGGAGGTGTGAAGTGAGACAAGGTGAAAAGGAAACTGGTTTCTCAAAAAAAGAAGGAAAGAAAGGTGGGGAGAAGAGCTTTGGCAGGGAGTGCTCAATTGTTGCAACTCAATGCCCTATAGTGAATGAAGCCAACCTATAGTCATGGTCACTGTCTATCTGTCTGTATGACCAGCTCACTATCTTTCTCTTCTTTGGGTTAATCTCTCTCAGTCTTCCAATTCACCTGCCTTAATTTCTCCTAAGGTACTCAACTAATTTTCTGATTAATCTCACAAATGACTCTCAGGTCTTTTACCATATCACTGGATCACATTACCTTTCAGCATCATTCTTCCTTTATCTGAATTCCAGCCTCACTGACCTACTTTAATTTTTCTAACATGAAATATGATCCTTCACACCATGGACATTTGCACATGCTATTCCCCTGCCTGGAGAACTCTTCTCTTACCCAGCCTCCTCTTCACCATGTTAATTATTACTCTTCCTTCAGGAATTATCCCAGTAATCATGCCTCAGAGAACCCTTCCTTAACCCCTACTTTAGGTCATAGCCATTTATTATATGTCTATATAGCACTGTGGACCTTTCCTTCAATGCATTTATCACAGATATAATTTTATATGTTGTGGTGTAATTTTTTATTTGTGTGATAATTTGATTGTCTATCTCTCTGAACTGTAAACTCCAGTAGGATACTAGGGTCCATATCTGCTTCATACAAAATTAGTATTAGTAGTGCTCACAAACCTCTTCTCCCTGACCTTCTCTCTTATCTAAGAAAATTAGCACTGTCCCTTTTCTAAAATTCTCACTGAAAACATGTGCCATTTCATCCACTGACAAACAAGTCCACATCAAGGTGTTATTTTAGAACAAAGCATGCATACAAATAAAGAAAAAAGTCCCATGAATGAGAAAGCACTGAATTTTTTTCACTACCATCCCCTTTTGCCCTCTCCTCACTTCTTGCTGCAAACATTATACTTTTGCCTGCTCTAATATTTGTAGGGTGGAAGGGAGAAAATGAAAGCTTTTCCAGGGTATTCTCCAAGCTGCCAGTTAATAGCTACAAAACTTAACCCAAAAAGTTCTATAAAAATAGCCTTCATTCAGTTTCATGTCCTTCCAACTGAGGGGAAAATGAATATGCAGCTGAAAAAGTGCATTCAGGAGTACCTAGGGGAGTATGCATTTCATTGTTATCTGTTTGAAAAGGAAGCAACTGAAATATAACTAACTTCCTACAGGGAATTTACATACTTGAATAAGAGTAGTCAGATGCTTCAGACCTTCACACTCCAAACCCAAATCAATTTTTCTTTCTGCCAGCAATAACAAAAGGCTGGGTGAATTCACCCCAAGTGCCAGAGACTCAGCACTATGCTAGTTTCCTTAGAAACAGTACAAATGTAACCAAAGGATTTTAACTATGCCTGTGGCTTAGGGTAGGACTAAGAGTTTTGGTAACACTCATAATCTCTAAATGAACATGGTGCCTATATAAACCTGAGCAGTGTTCTAGGAAAGGAAGCCATTTAATGACTAATTTTGCATTAATTATCAGGTGCATTGAAGCCTTTCAGAAAAAAAGAAAGGCTAGACCCCGAGTTCTACACTCGTTCTCTTTTTGTTAATCCTCACCTGAGGATATTTTTCTATTGATTTTTAGATAGAGTGGAAGGGAGGGAGGGAGGGAGAGAGAGAGAGAAAGAAACATCAATGTGAGAGAGACACATCAATTGGTTGTCTCCCACATGACCCTGGGGAATTGAACCTGCAATCCAGGAACGTGCCCTTGACCAGAATCAAACCTCTCAATTCACAGGCCTATGCTCTAACCATGGAGCCAAACTGGCCAGATCCACTCTTTCTTTTCTTAATACAGTCTTCTTTTGCTCCAATGGGACAAAAGGACTAGTAGTTCAGTTTCCAAGCCACTTCGTAACACTGGACACTAAATCTCTGAAAAGGTAGAAGACATTTTTTAAGCTCAGGGTCTAGAAGATTTTTAGCTCATACTTCACACTGGAGAACCATTACCTGTTACT